CCCCAAAACCCCAAAACCCCAAAACCCCTGGATAAATAAATAGCACTGAATGTGGATATTATTAAAATATATTTCTATATGGACTCTACTTACCAAAGTGCATTTTTATCAGCCCCATTTAGCTGTAAGTGCAGTTGCCTTATCTTGTAGTTCTGCACCCACAAAGCGTCTTTGCCAGCATCGCAGAGGGAAGAGACAACCAGGTAAGATATTTTGGGAATTTGAGGTAGGATGCTATAAACCAAGAGAGCCTTGAAGTCATTTTATTAGTTCTCCACAAATACTTTCCTATCTGCTTATTTCTAATGCCCATTGTCTTAACTTATGCATAGCCTCAAAACATCTTCTCAGGACTTCAAGATCACTTCAAAGCTTGGACATATGAGGATTGTGAGAACAACAGAAATTATGAAGACAATTGTTACAAGTCGGTTTCAAATTATGGTCGGAACACTCAGGCTTGGGAGTATCCCAAACAAGGACCCAACAGCATCGAGACTAAGACTCAAAGAAGTCTATCTCAAAGCTGTACTTTAGTAGCAAGCTCTGATGCTATTTGGCTTCAGAGTGCAAAGTCTTTGGGATCTCGTGACTCTACTCAGATAGATTCTGGAATCCATGAATCACTCCCATCTGAGCTTACTTGTATTGAAGTCAGCTCAGGAGCAATGAGGAAATCTACTCTCAGAAGGATAAGAAAGTTCTTCAGAAATTTGTTCAAGACCAACAACAGAGATCTTGTGTCCAAGAGGTATTCCAACTGCAAGATAAGCCACCTGTATGAAAGACTCAGGAAGACTCTGACTAGGATTCTCCCAGAAGAAGTGGTGACCAAAGAAATGATTTATTTCACTATGGGACTCATCAACATCAAGAAAATATCTGAATTGCCTTGATCCTTAGCTACAAAGTCAGAAGTATCCGCCTTCTTAGCTAGCACTCGTATTTTCTCATACAAGAAGCTCAGAAAAGCATTGGAATCGCCAACTTGCAGAGCTCTGTGCTGGTGCTTTGTGAACAACTCAGAAGACCCCAAAGTAGGGTTCCTAACTGAAGTCCTACAGGAGTTCAGCTCTGACCAATAAACCCTAATTTCTCATAAATAACTTATAACAATGTTGTACTACAGGAAGTGTAACTTAGACAGTGCAAATTTGGGTTACTAATGTTTTAATAGTGAAATTCTCTACTCTCTCTACCTGAACACCCCATAATTGGCCTTCAAGAGCCGAAATGAATTGCCAGCAAGCAGTCTTGCATATTAGCGAGCCAGCTAGTTACCAGAACGATTTGGATATTATAATCATGATAACATATTGGGTCATAAATAACGGTTTACATCCTGTACAACACAAATAATCGAGATCGATTAACTAGTAGGCTCTAAAACTGCAGAAATATGTCCTAAGTGCATTAATGCTTTTCTAGTACCTCTCAGCATCAGCTTGACCCCAAAAAGGTATGTGGAAGAGATGATAAAAAATTTAGTCTTATTCATCATTTCTGAGGTGATCAGAAATCATGAAGAGACTGTTACCTCAGAATTCGATAACCATCTGAGAGCATAAAAATCCAGGTTGGCTCATTCTTGACCTTCACAAACCTCTAAGCATGCTAATTATTGTAGAGCTGAAAGTATAACTCACTTGTAGGACCACCATGCGTGCTAGCCCAATGTGGCTCTCAGTTTTGAGATTTGAACTCTACACTTTTGTATGCATCACCTAATTTGAAACAAGATACGCTTCTTAGCCTATGGCAATGCTCTTTCATCGATGAGGCATCTTCAAATATTCCAAAAATTAGTATCTCGATAACTTGGATAGAGTCATGAATTGCAACTTGCCGACTGAGAGATAATAAAGGACCACTGAAGCTCATGGAAATAGAACATTCAGACGTCTGATATTTGTCCAGCTGCCATATATCATCACAGAAGGCATAGATCAGCCCTCATGAGTATGCCTGAATCCTTTCTATCGCCTTTTCAAATTTTATCAGAGACTTGGACTTAACTTAGTAAGTATTATTTCTAGTCGAAGTTACTCAAGTTACTTCCAAATTCCAGTTGTTGCTGACAAGAATCAGATATTTATGAGCAGGATATCTATCTAGCCATCTGGTCGCCATTAATGAGGACTAGAATCCTTTGAAGAGTTTCATGGCTTCCCTACCACTAGTTGTGGACCAAGTTCGAGCTCAAACTGACTTGATTCTTCAAAATAAAATGGAAAATTATTCCAGAGACCTCTGCTCCAGTGGATTAATGGCGACCAAGAACTTAGAGTCCTGGATTTCTTATGCTATCATTCTAGCTTGAGTGTAGCAGCTTAAGTTCATACCAGGACTGAGGAGCTCTTGAAATCACTCTTCGATGAATTACTTATCAGAGTAGTGATAAATTTGTTGAGATCTAGCTTATTGGCAGCCTCTATTTTAGATGAATGAATGCGACTAGCTTAGCTAATAGATTTCATAAGCTTTTAACTCCTTCAACTTATCAGATTGATCAGTTCTGAAACCTCAATGGTGCTTTAGAAAGTTTTATAGTTTTCAAGTTATGCACTAATTGAACGTTCAGGGAGCTCTATCAATGTGTAAATTTTCTTTTCAGATTTTTTATTCTTTATAAAAACGATAACTCTCCCTAATTTGCACCAAAACAAAAGAAAATTGAGCCCGATGCCATGAAACTGCAATCTAGCTTTTCAGAGTTGACAGTTAGAGATAAAAACTTCTCCCAAAATTATTAAATTGCTCAAATTTTTTATAAGAGCTGGAAATGACTATTTCTGCTTCTGAAGTTGTACCGAATTTCCACAATTTTTACTTAATATGCAAATTTATTTCATTTATTGGCTCAAATAGGTTAGAACCAAGCCAGAAAGACCGCCTCTAAGCGAAAATCACACATGGTTTGACTACACAGAGACTTATATGCCTCATTAAATTATTTACAGTAGAAATCTTGATGAACCAGAGAGTAAAATTTCTGGAGCAGGAATGTTGAAGACAAGTGTTCGTCCGGCATTGATCTTAGCGATTCATCCTCTGTATCACATTTGATGATATTTCGTGGCTATTATCTCTTGAACTACATTCTGCTGAGTTCCAAGAAAATCTTTGAAATTTTAATACTTCAGACTAATAACTTACGCTAATTAAAAAGTTAATTCATGTCATATAGATCAACATAAGGCATGATCCTGGTGCCATTATGATCTCCTGAGTGGTCTAGACTTAGATAGTTTAAAGCTATAGAGATGTTTGCTACTAATCCGATATCAAGAAGGCACCAACTATGCATTGGAGATACCTCAAATTATGAAGAACAGAATCTATACTAATTCTTCTTCCGCTCTGGTCCTTTTAGACACTCCTTCCAGAAGTGCTTTGAGCCAAAAGATGTCCACAAGAACTAAGAAGAGTCGAAGGTGGAACTTTCATGAATTATGATTATTTGAGTAACTTCAACCTTAGTTTATTATCCCGGGGTTTTGGGGTTTTGGGGTTTTGGGGTTTTGGGGTTTTGGGG